TGGTGAAAGTTACCAAGGCAGCAGACAGAAGCTTGATAGCTAGAAGCATGTATAATTTTCTCAACCTCTTTGTAAAATAAAACTATCACAGCAGAAAATTATACCAGTAAATGTATTTGTCTTAGTATGTCTTTTTCTCAGATCTCTACAAATTAAATGGTGGTCCTTAGGAGAAAGGGAAGAGAGAATCAGTTGTTTCCTTTGAGCAGTAATTTTTTTTTTAAGATTTATTTATTTTAGAGAGAGAGAGAGCAAGCGAGCAGTGGAGGAGGGGTAAAAGGAGAGGGAGAAAAAATCTCAAGCATACTCTGCACTGAGCAGAGCCTGATGTGCGGGGCTTGATCTCATGACCCTGAGATCACAACCTGAGCTGAAACCAAGAGTCGGGCGCTTAACCAACTACGCCACCCAGGCATCCCAAGAACATAGTAATTTTAATAATAACAATAATAGAAAAAAAAAAAACAATAATAGTAGTGATTGCCATGGTATCATATAATTTGTTTAGCATTTATGTTATATAAAGCATTATATAGTCCATTATATCATTTTATTTTAGTCCAAAGCAGCATGTCCCAAAGTTATGATCCCTGGAATACTGGTTCCTGGGAATCATTGCAAACTACATTCTTTTATACTCTGCACTTAGGGATTCATTGTTAAAAGCTGTGAGAAGTCCTGCTGCAGATATATAAAGAAATCAGTTCAGTTTTATATAAACCAGTGTTTACCAAACTGTTATGGCTACAATTTTTTTTTTTAGTAAACTTTGTTAATGTCCCATGAATGTAAGGTATGACTAAAGGCACTCAGAGCAGAGAATTTAAATGAACAGTTTTTATTTATTTATTAAAAGATTTTATTTATTTGAGAGAGTGTGAGAGTGTGAGAGAGAGAGAGAGAACACAAGCAGCGGGAGTGGCACAGGGAGAGGGAGAAGCAGGCTCCCCACTTAGCAGGGAGCCCAACATGGGGCTTGATCCCAGGACCCCGGGATCAGGACCTGAGCTGAAGGCAGACGTTTAACCAACTGAGCCACCCAGGTACCCCTAAATGAACAGTTTTTAAATGCTGCATTGCAAATATTGAGTTTGTTCACAGTGGAAATTCTTATTTCATGCACAGGACAAGGGAGCACATCAGTCAGCACAGGACTGATTTCTTCCTTCATGCCTAGAAGGAGCTAAAGCTGGGGGTGACAGTTGGCATGCATGGAGACCTGGGTGTGTTTGTCATAAAGAAACTGGACCATTTCTTCCATACGCTATACACATGAAACTGTGTACCATCCTATTTGCAGCAATACCCTTGCTGAAAAAGAGCAAATAGATTCTGAAGTTATATTGAGCCAGGCCAGACGAGATCTGTTAGATGAGAGCTACTTAATCACCTCTTCACATGATGATGATTTGGAGTATTTCCTATAGAGCAAAATAAATTACCTTTCATCCAGCATGATTAATCATATTGATTGTTTATATATTTCTCTCCCTGGCCATGATATATTCTCCTTCCTAATTTCTTTTAAAGAATGGCTTCTTCCAAAACACTAAGAGTCCAAAAACCTTTAAATGATGTATTATTTATCTCTCTGGCCACACAGATTCCTTCGGAGTCATTACTGACTCATTCCTACAGAGTCATTAAATCCATCAATGGCGCATTTGCTGACTTATTAATCAGCAGATTTGGTTTTCGGGAGACTCAGGTGGCTGTAGAGGACAGACCCATGAGGTGGTATCACATCCATTACCAGCATGGAGGGGCAAGGTGCTAACTTCAACCCAGGGGAACATGTGTGGGCCTGCAGCTCAGACAGTTTTGGAGGCCCTTTTTAAATAATTCAAATTATTAGACACTACATTGAATATTCACTTAGAATCATCATGTAAATGACCACCATAACAACAAAATACTTGAAGCTGACGAGCTCTGGAAAGATCTCAAAATTTAGGGAAAAAACCACATATTTAATATTTAGCTATCTGATACACGACTCAATAAAATTCTTGTCTGCATATGCTTGATCGCCTATTCCTGCAACAGTGATTTTGTCCTGCTTTCTATGGAGAGAATAGAAGGAGAAATCAGACTTTCCTCTGATTGGATCAATCCAGTAATGGATTGGTGGTGAATCACGATGGTGGATGAAATGATATTTTTGTTTTGTTTTGTTGCCATGGGTGAAAGGATGTTTTTTATTATTGATTGTGTGGAAAGATTTCTTTTGGCTTCACAACTTACTCTTGGTACAATTTTTAGGATTGTTATCAATTTTAGGAAAACTTCTCTCAAGTGTCTTTCACAGACGAGCTGTATGATTTCAAGGCATTTCAGAGGTTGGTTGTTGCAGAAGTGAATCTTAAATACTTTCTGAATTGGTAACACTCATGGAACACTCAGCTTGTCTTCGGGATCCCTAATGTTGTGGCATATTACGAGGGTCACGTCAGACCCTGCACTTTCATTTATCATGGTGGACTGTGTTGGTTGAGTGGGTGTTAGAACCATTACTAACAATTGTTCCTGTAGGGGGTGCAGCTAGAAATAACTAACCTATACACAGAAGAGTCTGTGAACCACTAAATGTCCTACTAAACCAAAACTAGATGTAACCCATCAACTTCCTTAGTCATGATCCAAAAATGCCCATGGCTCCTCCTATAGAACCCAACACAAAGGGAACTATGAGGAGAAGCTGCAGTGGGAAAGAAACAGTGGCCCCAGCCATTTGTGGGGCCAAAATATTGTACTCCTATAAATTTCATAAGAACACATGGCCATGGAAGCACTTACAAGTGCTCCCCTTGAGGAGCCATGAAACTTAAGCTTTATTGGTTTCATGGTAAATCCACTTCTTCATTTTTGTCCACTCCAATTTTCTTTGGTGGAGCTGCTGTAGTTTCTTTAGAAAGGATGCATGTTTGCTTGTTGAACCGAAGGACCAGATCTGTCAAAAATATGACACAACCGTGTAGGAGATGTGCACATGGCCGTATTTCAGCTGGCCAATTTATTACATTTAATAGAACAATTACTTGGCATTATGGGATCAGTAGCTCTTAAATCTGAGGTTAAAATCATCTCTGTAGCTTTTTAAAAATATAATGCACAATACACCCAGAAATTCTAATTCAGTAGACCCAGGGTGAGGCCTAGGAATCTCCAATTTTCAGGTTTCCCAGCTGATTCTGATGTGCTGCCAAGTTTGAGAACCACTGATGTAGACACAATATTTGGATGAATGCCTCTGCCTGCCGCAGTTCCATGGTACAAAATAAAGGGTGAACTTACAAAGAGGCTTTTGGTTTGGTGCAAGCAAGAGTGGTGAGTTCACCATCAAGTCAACTGCACCAGCAGTTAGTAAGGAGATTGTCATAGGTTTTATATTAGCTCAGACTCTTTTGGGTGCAAATAGAAATTCCAATTTCAAACTAGTTTAGGCATCGAAAGGAACTTATGGGCTCCTGTGGCCAGTGTCCCTTTCAGGCGTGGCTGAATTGAGGTTTCACATAGCCTTCCGCAGAGCATTTCCCATGGAGAGAAAGCACCCCTTTCAATAATGAATCTTGGAAGAGAGTTTTATTGCCCTGGCTGGGTCAAGTGTCTATTTCTGACCCAATCGCTACATCCAGACCATCTGACTGGCCAGGCCTGAGCCAGAGGACCACCTCAGGCCTTCAGGGTTGGTCAGCCTCACTGACCGATGGGACCTGAGAAAGGGGGTGGTTGTTCCTGTAAGGAAAATCAGGGTTGCAGGCAGAAACAACTGATGAATGGGTGGTTGGCTCAGTGACCTCTGGAGCCACTTCTAACTGAAGGCAGACTTGCTTTGTCTTTGCTCAGGCCTCAGACTTGCCCAGCTCCAGTGCCGTGCACGTCTAATGCCCTGTTCCTGACAACTGGGGCCATGGGGCGATGGGGAGGGGTGCTCTGGAACCTGTCTGGTGATCTGCGGCTGTCTACCTCCTGTTTGGGTGAGGTGCCTGCAAGCAGTTTTGCAACAGTCCAAAATGAGGTTGTGAATCAGAGGAGACTAAGCGGAGAGGTGGAGTCAAGATCCAAAGCCAAAGGAGGCAAAGTCAACAGAGGTTGACAACAGGATGTTTCCGAAGTACATGGAGGTGTGCATGCGAGAAAGTAATTTTGGAGCAGAAGCAAGGACAGCTAGAACAACTGGCAAGGCCATCTCCTGCAGCTGTTGGGGGGCCCAGAACAGCTAACCCCACGATCCGCTCACCAAACATGTTTCTCCGTAATGAGATAGGTGCTTTTTTGCATTAACTATCACACTATCACAAGTCAGTGGGAAGGCAGACCCAGAGATGGGCCACCCATATCCCCCTCAAGGAAGGTTCACTGTTGAGCTGTGGAGAGGTCTGTCACGGCACAGATCTCAGCTGATGGCTCCTTCAGGGCCTACCTGGGCAGCCAACAGCAGCTGGGTCTGAGATCATGCCCGCCCTAGGCAGCCTGCATCTAGATATGGAGTATGAAGGCCCGGCTAGTTCAGTCCACTGAGGGACAACTTCAATAGCCGTTGCTTGCTCTGTAGCTCTCCACCCGTCCAGGGGCTTTATGAGGCCTGCAGCTCCTTTTCCCCCTCTGCGCAGTTCTTCCCACAAGCTTTCACCAATATTGATCCCCAGTGAACATCTTGAACCCCAGACTTGGTTTCAGTATCTGCTTCTGGAAAACCCACCCTGTGATAAGTATCATTAGGTTACATTTTAATCAGCCTATTTGAAGTAAGAAGAAACCTGCAACTTGCAAACTACGTTTTAATTCATAAAAAAAAAAAAAAAAAAAAAAGACCTAGGACTCCTTCTCTCTCCCTTAAAAAAACAAGGTATTGTGACACCTGAAACTAATACAACACTTAATTATACAGGGATTTTTAAAAAATTTTAAAATATGGATATCACATTGAAAAAACTAAACCATGTATTTGCATAATAATCAAATATAACAGAATGCTTTTTCTAAGTTGGTAGTTCTTATATAACTTTTTTTTTTTAAGTGAGGATTTCTGGAACGATATAGAGAAGATTAGCATGGCCCCTGCGGCAGATGACACGTAAATTCATGAAGCCTTCCCTATTTAATAAATAAATAAATAAATAAATAAAAAGTGCAGATTCCCCCCTCAGTTCTTTTTATTAGCCTCTCTTAAGAATCAGAGTGAAACATTTTCTTTGATTTTGCCAAACTTTGAGGACCTTGTAAATTCACAAGAAGTTGTGTAAGGAAAAAGATCTTCTAGTTTAATTAAATATTTGGGTAGGAAGGAGTCATTGTCTTCATCAGATGTTTTCAATCAAAAATTTTAAAAATTAAAATAAGGGGGTGCTGGAGTGGCTCAGTCGGTTAAGCGTCTGCCTTTGGCTCAGGTCATGATCCCAGGGTCCTAGGATTGAGCCCCATGTGGGGCTCCCTGCTCAGTGGGGAGCCTGCTTCTCCCTCTCCCTCTGCCATTCCCCTGCTTGTGCTCTCTCTCTCTCTCTCTGTCAAATAAATAAATAAAATGTTTTTTTTTAAAATAAAAATAAGATTAAACTCAACATTGAGACTGTTTAGAACACAGTGTTATTTTTCATTCACAAAGGCATATCGGTATCTCAAAACATATCTACATGATGATTTTGAACCTCGGTTTTATTTCATTACAGCTGTGGAGAGTATGTACTTAGTAGAGGCCTAGAGTTTTTAGAGTCCCTGTTAAATTATTTTCTGAAAAGGGAGTAAAATATCATAATTTAGACTCTTAAAATGTATTTTTTTAATCCAAGCCATAAAGCACACAGCTAAAAAATTGAAACAGCTCAGAACAGCTTATTATGAGAAAAGACCAATCCCCACATCGGTGCTCCTCACTTCCAGCCTGTCTCTCCTGAAGCAGCCCTGTTAATCATTTACGTTGTAAGTTCTGTTAGTGGTTACCTAATGCATCTCTAAATTACATACTTACATCGCCACTTCTTGATCTGTCAACTCAGGATATTAAATATTGATTTTCTGCTATCGTGGGTAAAGATTTAGTTCCTCCATTGTCCCAATTTGTATTTTTGTATTTCTATTTTTAGTTTCTTTGTAACTGTAAATAATATGCTAAAAACTATGTCTTATTCCATTGGTTTTCAAAGGCTCTCGTGATTGCTCCTTTTATGATGAGAATATTAACACCCTTATCCTTTCTTCCTCATCTCTTCCCTCCCTTATTTCCTGACCTCTGTTCACTGTTCTCTAACCTTTATGATGTCAATGTTGATAAATTTCTATTCTGTGGTAATCATAATTAACTTTGTCTAAAGGTTGGTTCTACGTATTGAAATGGAAAAAAACAGTGTTCCCTCTTCTATGAGTCATGACTGGTTTATCAGAGACCCATGTCATGTGCTTCGAACATACCTCCTTGTGGTTTCATTGTCATGAAACTTGAACCTCCCCAAGGGAAATGTTCTAGGCATCAAGGTCAAATGTCTTCTCCTTTCTTATATTCTGTCAGTTATTCAGAACCACACTCCAGTTTAGTTGCTGTAGATTTGAATTGTGGTTTTTTTTTTAAGATTTTATTTATTTGAGAGAGAGAGAGAGCACAAAAACCAGGGTGGAGGGGCAGAGGGAGAGGGAGAAGCAGACTCCCTGCTGAGCAGGGAGCCCGATGCGGCCTCCATCCCAGGAGCCTGGGATCATGACTTGAGCCCAAGGCAGACGCTTAATCGACTGAGCCACCCCGGTGCCCCTGAATTGTGATTTTTTAATTGATTTTTTCCCTACTTTCTGATTGCTTTCTCTCTTATTGTTGCTGGCGAATGAAAAATAATGGGCTTTATTCACTGTTATTTGCATATCTTATTGATTCTGTTGATTGAATTTTTTCTTCCCCTTCTCCTATATCTTGGAGAGCGTCCCCTTGGAGTGCTCTGGTTTCACATTCTAACATGGACTGATTTTTTTTTTCAGAATAGCTGCTCAAGTGTCACCTTGAAGTGTGCTTTCATTAGATGCCTGGTTAGTGACATGGTTTCTTAGATCCCTTATCATTCTCTGTCTTGGTGTTCACCTTCAGGTAAATTCTTCAGAAATAGTGTAACCTAAACTCTGTGAGTTCTTGCATGTCATAAAAAGAAAATGACCATTTCCCATTCTAAGTTGATAGAGTTTGTATGGTACCCTTGATTCAAAACTATTTTTCCTCAGAAATTAGCTGCTGAGAAGGCTAATGCAGTTGAGTTTTATTTCCCGAGGGTGACCTGTTGTTGTTCTCTGGAAGATTTAGAATATTCTTTTATTCTTGGTGCCCCGAAATTTCACAGTGATATATCTGAGCCTGGGTCTTTAAAAATTAGGAAATATTTAAGACATATGAAGGGGCATAAAGAATAATATAATGGAAATAAAACACTGGATATGCCTTTTTTCATTTAGTCTCCTTGGCTCGCGAAGGTCCCCCTTATTAGAATTTTTATTAGTGGAATGGATTGATCCTCTGTGTCTCTTTTTTTTCTCCTATTATCTCTCTTTTTTTTTTTTAAGATTTTATTTATTTATTTGACAGAGAGAGACAGCAAGAGAGGGAACACAAGCAGGGGGAGTGGGAGAGGGAGAAGCAGGCTCCCAGCGGAGCACGGAGCCTGATGCAGGGCTCAATCCCAGGACCCTGGGACCATGACCTGAGCCGAAGGCAGACGCTTAACGACTGAGCCACCCAGGCACCCTCTATTATCTCTTTCTTTGAGGATTTGTTGTTACTGTTATTTCTTGGGAGGGAAAATTCTCTGACTTTATCTTCCAATTATTCCTTTGATTTTAAATTTTTTATTACCAAATTTTCTTATTTCAAAGAGCTGATTCTTGTTTTCTTTTTTTAGATTGAGATATAACTGATATATAATGCTATATTAGTTTACAGTGTACAACATAATGATTTGATATATGTATGTGTTGCAAAATGATCACCACAATAAGTTCAGGTAACGTCTGTCACCACATACTTAAATTTTTTTCTTGTGATGATTTCTTTTAAGATTTACTCTCTTAGCAACTTGAAGATTACACAATACAATGTTGCAAACTATAGTCACCATGCTGTATATTGCATCCACAGTACTTAGCCTATGACCTGAAGTTTCATTCTTGCTTTCTGAGGGTCCCCTTATATAAGTACTTTCTATGAGTACTATGTCTTTCTTTGAAGGATTTTATTTATTTATTTGAAGGAGAGAGAGAGAGATGTGAAGAGAGAGAGAGAGAGGGTGCCTGGGTGGCTCAGTTGGTTAAGTGACTGCCTTCGGCTCAGGTCATGATTCTGGAGTCCCAGGATCGAGTCCTGCATCGGGCTCACTGCTCAGCAGGGAGTCTGCTTCTCCCTCTGACCCTCCCCCGTCTCATGCTCTCTCTCTATCTCATTCTCTCTCTCAAATAAATAAAATCTTTAAAAAAGAGAGAGAGAGAGAGAGAATGAGCTGGGGGAGGGGAAGAGGGAGAGAGAGAAGCAGACTCCCCACTGAGCAGAGAGCCCCACATGGGGCTCAATCCCAGGACCCCGAGATCATGACCTGAGCCAGTCAGACACTTAACTGACTGAACCACCCAGGCGCCCCATCCCTATATTTTTAGCTCCTCTCTCATACCTGTCTGTCATACCTGAACCCAGAACCACTCTGGAGCTCTGTTGAGAAGATTGGTTCCCTTCTCCACTGCAGCTTCCTCCTAGAATATTCTAAACTGCCACCTCCTCAGCTATTAAACTTCTATCTGTTGCTGTCTTCCAGAAATTTGCTTACATCTGTCATCTGCAAGGTCACCCTCTGAATAGCTTGCTTTTATTCCTGTTTTTATTCCTGTACTATTATTTTAATGGGATTTCTACAGAGAATCAAAAATATGTGCTCAGCAGGTAGATGCCATCATGAATCAAAAAAAAAAAAAGTAAGGATTTTCCATTCTGCCCTCATTTAAAAACTTATAGACGTGTAGAAAAGCTAGCCAGTTTATGACATGTTTCTCCTGAGGACCCTGTAAGGATAAACTTCCTTATATATAAGGATAAACTTCCTCATATATATATATATATATATTTGAATATAAAACAATTAAGTTCTCATTATGAATGAGAACTCCTTGTGTCTAATACCTGACAGGTACTGCCTCCTTGAATGCTCATTTTACAGATGGAGAAACTGAGGCCCAGTCCAGCAGTTTACACAAGGCCACTCAACTAGCGAGTGGCAATTCAGTTTCAAAACCTAGTTCTGTCTGCTTCCTACACCGTGCATGTTGCCTATGAGGGGGCATAGGCTGATACAAAGTATGAAGGATGCCAACAGAAGCAACTTCTGAGCATAAAATACAGACCCTAAATATCTAGTTCCATTGATTGTGGCCACAGTCCATGTGTACAACAAAGGTGACCAGAAATTCTTTGTGAGGAGAAGGTACTCTTCTCTCTGCCTAAGACTGAACATTCCGAGGGAGCAGGTTTAATTGACCCACAAGTCTTTTGTGGTAAGCAGGCTGTTGTCTTTTATTTTAGTTCTCTTCTTGAGAGGCTCTGCTGAACTCTGTCCTCAGCAAATGCACTACAATCATACTGGCATTTCAGTTTCGGAGAAAAAAAATCATTAATTACAATGTACATTATTGAACACCCATAGTAGTAGGATTCCACTCTGGGAAGGACAGCATATGAACCCTGTATTAATCAATTATTGCTACAAATCCAAACCATACTGACAGCATTAGGCATGTGATTTTTTTTTTTTAAAGGATGGAACTGCTTTACTTATACTAATCTCATGTTTCCTTTCCTCAGTTTGAAGTTTTAAAAGACTGACATTTTCTGCGGGTTAATTAAATCAAATATTTAATACTATTTTTAAAAACCCATTTCATGACAATGAATTGTACATATGCAGATGGAAAGAAATGAGAACTGTAGCTCTCCAGATGGAAGCTCTTCAGAACAGATGCACATCATCTCGACATGTGCTCTGGAGGAAGAGAATTAATCAAAATAAGGAATAACAATGTAGTGCTTAATGGTTATGGCTGGTTCCTAATTTATAGGATAACTGACGTATGTGGGGGAGTCAGAATGCAGTGA